CACACTCGATCAGAGGTGAGTGTTCACAGCAGCTGTTGAAGTGTTCTCTCTGCTCCTCCCAGGAACTTTTGCTTTCCTTCTGCCTCTTTCAGCCCCTGCTCTAATTCTGGCACAGGGCTTGTTTTTGGCTCAATTCACAGTACCTTGCCATTACTGCCTCCCTTGCTTTTTGCCTTAATGTCTCCTGTGGGTGTTCTTGTCCGAAAGAAATCTAGAAATTTCAGCAACAAAGTGGACACTTGGGTATTAAATGGCCAAACAGAGTTAGTGAAATGCAAGATTTCTGGTCCCAGCTGCAGTCTCTGAAGGAGTGGAATATCTCATCTTTCAACCAAAGGTTTGTTTTTCTATCTAGTTATAGGCCCTTTCATCAGAATACAGATGTTAGATTTCTCCTGTGTGGCACTAAGAAGGCATAGTCATATATATCCACGACAGGCAAAAACCCTGGTGAGTAGATGTTCTTTCAAACTATCTGAAACTACTTCTAACATAGAAACTAACCCTAGGGGAAGAGAGTCGACCCCACAGCATCTCTATTTAGAATACAGTTTTAGGCCCAGTCTCATTTATTTAGCCCCTTTATGTTTTAACATGATTAGGAATCAGAATGCACAAATATTAAAGATGCTATTTCTGCATTATGCCATGAATGTAAATAATGTAAATAAAAGGGATATTGAATGGTCACTAGGTATATATCCACACCTTTATTTCGACACTATACACTATTGCTCCGAGCAATAAACCATCACATTTCAAAACAACAATAAATTTCTCCAATGTAAAGCTTTATTGTCCTTGAGATGTGCTGTCATCTCTGTTGATATTTGCCTTCTAACTTCACCCTACCCAGCTCCCATTTAAATTCCACAATCAAATTCTCAAATTTCTATTACAATTAATCTTTTCTTATTTAGCTTTTCCCTCAGCTAGAAAACTTTTAACAGTTTTACCTTGGAATATTGTTCTTTGTACTTAATCTTAGTTCCTATAACTTTTCATCATATATTTTTAATTTCTAGACTTCTTAGATGAAACTGTGAAGCTCATAACTGCCAATGAATATTTGTTAAAGGTGAATGCATCTAATACTAGAAGTACATTTATATTTTTACTCTTAGACAGCCCGCCCATACATCTGTCCTGTTATTTAACAGAGCAAGAAATTACCTAATAAAGTTAATGACCCACTAGGAAGGCAACAGTAAACTTATATATTGAAGCATCTGATACTCTGTTCATATGTAAGAAGGTATTTTAATGAGTTAAATGAGTCTGAATATTTAAACTTTGAATAACCCTTAAATACTGTTCACTGAATGTAAAGCAGTATCCCACGTACAATCCCAAGTCTTGCAGACATGTTTTCAATGACTTCTTCCTGTCTGTAAAATATAAAAAGTGTTCTATCCAATCACTTCAAAAGTATACCTAGATAGAAGGGCTTTAATGTAGATATCAGAAGAAACATAAAAGAAATATATGAAAGGATGACATTATGATAATAAGAAGTAGTTGGTTGTAAGAATTTTTTGAGATTATGCAGAAACTGACAAGACTCTTATGTATATTTCAGAATTGATCCACTAAACAGATTCCTATCAAAATGTCTGACAATAAGGGGGTTAGGGCGGTTGAACACAGGTAAATTATAGGCATACATTGATCTTTTAAAGTGATATTCAGAAAAATACAGCTCTTTATCTACTATACTAGAATTGATAGAATTAAAAAAGGAGTCACACACCTTTCTCAACTAATAAATTTTTTTTAAAGATTAATTTATTTTTGTGTTCAGAACTGGGGGTACAGGCCAGAGGTGCAGGGGCGGTGAGAGGACTCACCAGAGACAGAGGAGCAGAACAGGCAGATCAACTAAGTACACTGCTGAGGAAAGCAGCGGGCGGGTCAGAAGAGGTCTGCCTCGCCATGTGGATCCCCTCCAGGGCAGGTGTCAAACTTGTGCTCATGAGGCTTCAGCTTCTTAGTGCTGTGCTTTAACCCGCTGCACCACCAGGGTGGGCCCAACTAATAAACTTTTAATCTAGCAAGAACATTCTGACAAGTCTCCAACCTAGGATTTCTAGGCATCTTCTGTTACCTTTTGGGGGGCAAGACATGCTTTGACATATTTCACCAAAATTTTCCTCTTTTTGACTCAACCAGAACTATAATGGAAAACAAAAAGGTGTTCTTTACTACAGAGTAACTCTTTAAAAATGGATCAAGTAACTAATACCAACTAATACCAAATGCTACAAGTTTTAACTATATCTCAGTTCCATCAACCAGTTTCTAAGATGAAAATGGATGCTGAGTCTTTAAAAATTTTAACAAACAACTCTTAGTATCTTTATAAACTTCAGTAAATGGTCATTCTCTAGCAATGAGAAGCAGAACTGGACACAAGGATCAATGCAGGATGTTGGTCAGTGAAAAAGAAAATTATTAAGTTGTTTTGGAATTTTTTAAGACTTATTTTTATTTATTTATGCATACAAGAACTGGAGTACAAGCCAGAGGTGCCAGGGTTGGGAGTGAGAGGCCTCACTAGAGACAGAGCGGGAAGCAGATCAGGCAGACTGGCTGAAATACACTGCTGAGGGGAGCAGCAGATGAGATAAGGGAGGTCTGCTGCACCATGTGAGATATTGCTACCAGCGAGGCCCCAGTTCTGGAATCTTATGACTTAAGTGTAAATAAAATATTTCATTAGTCAAAGATTTCATTAGTTTTATTTTAGTATCTGTGAGATAATATAAAACACATAGTTCTATGTATATTTGTGTGTGTGTGTGTGTGTGTGTGTGTGTGTGTGTGTGTGTGTATGAGAGACACTGCTCTAGGTTCTTTGCACAAAGTTCTGAAACCTGTAATATCCTAAGTGATAAGAACACTAGTAGCATCTTTTGTTCAAACATTTTTTTCTTTGACCCATTTTTTCTTTTTGACCCAGAAGGAAAAAGAAAAATAACGGAGGATAGTTTCTTGACACAGGCATCCTAAATCCATTGGAATTTTATAGTGTCTTTTTTCTAATAAGGTAAAGATGGGTATGGGATTCCTAGATGGGGATTGACATCTAAAAGACTAAGTTATAATTAGAAATTTGAAATGGATTATTAGTTGGATACAACTACAGGAGGAAGCTGCTATAAAATTCTGCAAAGTACCAGATTCTGAAAGCTTTCAAGCTGCTGAAGACAAGGGACCTCACTCTTCATATCTTTTCATTTGACTGTCATTTGCATCCTTTATCATATAAATAAACTGGCAAATGCATTTTCTTGAGATTTGTGAGTTATTCTAGCAAATTAATCAAACCCAATGGGGAAGGGCAGGCACCTCCAATGTAGCCAAGCTGGAGCGTTAACTGGGAAGCTGCTAGTGGTTGGGTTGTGACTAAAGCAGTCTCCTGGAGGGGATCCTTACCCTGTGAAATCAGAAGCTATCTCTGGGTAGATAGTGTTGGAATTGAGTTAACTTGCAAGACACCAGACTAGTGTCAGAGAATTACACATGTGGTGTCAGAAGAGTTATGAGTACAGTAGCAGTGTGAGAATATACAGAGAAATCTAGAAGGGTGGAAAAGTTTTTCCCAAACAGTAGCTTAGAAAAACATTATTGTTTTGTGAGTTTCTCTTTTAGTGAAACACTGAGATCATATTTATCTGACTCAGTCAAATGGCATTGAACACTTTCTATTTTTTTTTAAGATTTATTTATTCATACAGAACTGGGGTACAGGCCAGAGATGCGGAGGGTGAGAGAGTTCACCAGAGACAGAGTGGGGAGCAGAACAGGCAGAACTGCTGAGGGGAGCAGCGGGCGGGTCAGGAGAGGTCTGCCACACCATGTGGTCACCTCCGGGGCAGGCGGGACTCAAACTCATGTGGAAGCGGCTTTAGATTCTCAGTGCTGTGCTTTAACCCGCTGCGCCAGCAGGGAGGGCCACACTTTCTATTTTTTTGTGTGTGTGTGTATGCCTTCTTAGTAGTTTAAAGATTTTTGACTGTTCTTATTGTGTTGGTAGTGGATATATATTATTTTGTATCAAAATCTTCACATACTGGGCCTCCGTGGTGGCACAAGGGACTATTACTCAGCAATCAAAAAAAAACCCCAAAAAACATGCCATTCACAGCAACATGGATGGAGATGGATGGGATTATGTTCAGTGAAATAAGCCACAGGGAAAAAGAAAAATAACAGAGTTTCTCTTACAGGAGGAATGTAGAGGGAACAAGTAAAGGATCAGAGTAAAAGAGTAATTATAATAAATTAAAAATCAAAGTCAACAGGCAGCTATAAATCAGCTAAACAGGGGTGGAGGAGGGTGTAGGATCAAAACAGGGTTGAGTAGAACACAAGGGGCTGTGGTGATGGTGCACACGTGAAGTGGTAGTGGGAAATCATGGGGATTATACCTGAGAGGAGAAAGCATATATTATAAAAAAATGAAGATTTTGTATAAAAATATATAAGCTAAAAATTAAAAAGATGTTACTGAAAACAAAAAGAAACGGTTTTGTAACCACACCTGTTATTCAGGGTACTTTCATCTCAAAGTTATTATGAGTACATGAACAAAGTGTGTTTTGCCATTCTGTGTCATATATTCAATTTCTGGGGGTTGAGATGGGGAACATTATGGGGAAAGGGTGGGTATCATTCTGCCTACCACTCACAATGAGGATAGCATTCCATCTCTCACATCATTCAATTCAGTAACAAAATACATTTCAAGGGATGCTATACACCCTCCACACTAATAGCAGCCAGTTAGTCAACATTATTTAGGAGTGGTTGTCTTACTCTAAATGACACATTCAAAATGCATATTTTCTGGAATAGAAACTTCTGCAGGTTTTACCTTTCAGAGAACTTCAAAATCCAGCATCTACTTACAGGATTTCCTCAGTATACAGTCAGAATGCAATCTTTGAAAAGTAGAATTAAAAGTATTTCTATACGCATACACTTGGAGCCTGAGGCACCTAACATCCCTGAGTACAGAGAGTAAACACAGCATCTCTCTTTGTTTTATAATTGCTCTGTTTCCCCAAGCCGCCAGCACAACAGCTGCCAGGCCAGAATGTGCTCCTTCCACACAGCCCAGAACCACTGTCGGCCCATAAACGACCCAGGCTTCCTGGGGTAAGGGCAAGTGCTTTCCAGGCACTCAGCAGGCAGTTTTCATGAGGCAAAGACTTAAAGCAGAAATGAAGTTGAATTCCCAAAATCTTTAGAGTGGTTATGGAGTTGTTGATTCTGTAATGATCTCATACTGTCTGCATTTTATTGATTTTGTTTTTCAATAGAAATGTTGAAGATCACAATTCTCAGATAGGCAGAATATGGGCAGATGCTATATTCTCACACACAGTCTGCCAAGATATTTTTACATCTTTCTGAACATAAAACAAAATGAAGACGTGTTATAGATGTATGCTACCAGTAACCCCCCAGAAGGGCTTTCATTATATGCTCATTTCCTGCATAAAGTATTAAAACAACTCTACCTAGAAAAAATGAACAAGAATTCCAAAATAAAAGCAATTTCCTCTAAGGAAACTTACTACTCATTCTTAATTACCAAAAGCCACTGAAAAGACAATTTTGGTCATCGTTACCAAATGTCATCCCTGCTATTTCTAATTCAATAAACTTCATGTCGCCTTTACTAGTTAAGTATCAAAATACATAATGCTATAATAGCTTATGCTCTGTTGCTACTCATTCATCTACTGTGTATGAGTAAAATTTCATGAAAGCAAGAAAAAACAAACTCAGAAGAAACTCGCTATATATTGCCTTAAGAAAAAAACATTTCAGAGGAACCCCCATCAACCAGCTCCCCAAATCACAGCCTTACCTTGGGAGACTTAGGTGGACTGACTGCCCTTTCTTCTGCTAAAGTTAGCAAGGTTAACTTTGTATCTTCCACTGAGGGATGTTTGGGAGGACGAGGTGGAGGGTGTAGGAAAGAGCTTTCATATCTCCTCATCATGTAATATTGTTCTTCAGTGATCTCTTCAACCAGAGTCCTGACTGGAAATGATTTTGAACACCCAGAACAATTACTCACTAACTGTACAGTCATATTCAAGCGGCCAACAGGAATTTCCCAGCACTCATTGGGGTTGGCAAGGTCACTTATGAGGAGATAGGAGTCTGTGATAGCTTCCTCCAACTTCAGTCCTGGTGTTGCAGCCAAAATGTCTTCTTCAATGGAAAGATCTCTCACAGATACCTTCACATTGAAGGGCAAGCAGAACTGTGCACAGAGTTCAGAAAGCTGGTACTTTTTCTTATCATGAATCACTTCTACAAAAGCTCCTTCCATGTACAAAGGGAGCAGTACTGCCTCATAATTATTTTTGAGAATTTTTTCACAGGCCAGAACATTCACTACTTTTTTAGTTCCCTCACAGAAGACTTCAGTCGTCTTTGAATTATACACTAAAAACTGGTCCCCGACAGATACGGATGTCAGTTCATGCTGAGTGGAGTGAAAAGCTTTGGTGGCTACCACATGGAGATGCTCTTTCTTGCTCTTTGCTATCTCAAGGTCATACGCAGTTAGAAACTCTCGAGGTCGTCGCTTGAATTTGCCTTGATAGCTAGTGGGAATCAAGAAGTGTCTTTTAGGAAAATTGCTTCTAATTTCTGAAGCTAAGACCCTGGCAGCTTGGTATTTTTCATGGATCACAATGGTTTTACCAGGTTGTAAAATGTTTCTGAAGATTTGATTTCCTTGAGGGATTTCTATGACTTCCGCCACAATGGGGAATTCTTTATTGGTCATTTCAAAAATATCTTGGGTAGATAACAGCTGGAGAAACCAGTTCTCATCATAACTGTCAGTAATGTCTTTAACTTCAACATCCAAACTGGGGAGGATACGAACTATATCCTTTTGGACTGAAAAAAAAAATAAATAAAAGGGACAAATTATAATATTTTGTCATGAAAATATTATTATGAATTATTCACAATAGGTAAGCTATGGGAACAACCCAAATGACCAAAAAATAGATGATTGGATCAAAAAGATGTGGTATATATACACAATGGAATAATACTCAGCAATTAAGAAAGATGAACTCATACTAATCACAGCAACATGGACAGGGCTGGAAATTAGTGAAATTAGCCAGAAAGAAAAAGAAAAATACCAGATGGTTTCTCTATAGGAGGAAGGTAGGGAACCCAAATAAGGGATGGAGGGGATAAGTAAGTACAGCAAAGTAAAAACAAAAGTCAATAGGCAGTGGTAAACCAGAGACATCCGTTGGAAGGGAGGAGGAAATTGGATCAAAATAGAGGTGGGAAGTGCACAAGGGGTTATGGTGATGGAACTATGGGGAACTGGTGCTGGGAATTTCCACACAAGATGATAAAGTCTACATTGTAGGTGAATAAAGAATGAAAAAAAATTATATAGAGTTAAATGTAAAATTTTTAAAAAGCTTAAAAGGAAAATACTGCTGTGAGGTAGTATTAGAAACTTTCATGGTGCCAAATAAACTGCATTGAAGAAAAGAAACTCAGATGATCATGTTATAACATTTCTTACTGAGAGCTTTCCTTTTTGCAAATGTTGAGGTAAAATAGATCATATATAACAAATGCCAATAATCAAATGCTCAGTTTAAAGTAGAGACATTAACAGGCTTTAGAGTCCTATAATCTCATTATATCACAGCTTCCTTCCTGTAGCGTAAGGGGAACCATTCTCCTCATTCTAGTCATTCTCATGTCCTTCTCTACAGATGTATCATATATAACTATATATGTGTGTAAATATATATGAATGTGCATTTTTCATATTTCTAGTATAATTTTAACACATGTTCATGAATCCAGATAGGATATATAAAATTAGCTTAGAAAGTTTTTCTACTTCGATTGAGACCCCTCCTTTATACATCTCAAGACTGCATTATTTGCACAAAATTCAACCATGTGGAATTCAATAAGAACAATGGAAAGTAAGGGACACAAGGTACTTAAGAATAATATATAGAAATGGATTACAAGATGTAGTTATTTTTCCAATGTGAATATTCTTTCTTTCTCTAATGGTGTATGATTAACACCTGGGTGGAAAAGGAGTACCACAGTATGGTCACAGTCAGAGAAGTTATCTGGGGACCCTAGGTGTTAGTGGGGTGTCTACCAATATATTCCTTGCCCAATGGACTATATCCTTTCCAAATGCCCAAAGTCCCAGAAGTCTTTGAGACTATAAAGACATTTAAAATATTGCCTTGATATTATTTATCTGTTCTTCATGTACATTCCCACATAGAACACTATAAATGGTCTTCCATTAAAGATAGTTACATGTTGGCCCTCCCTGGTGGCGCAGCGGGTTAAAGCACAGCACTGAGAATCTAAAGCCGCTTCCGCATGAGTTCGATTCCTGCCTGCCCTGGAGGTGACCACATGGTGTGGCAGACCTCTCCTGACCCACCCGCTGCTCCCCTCAGCAGTGTACTTCGTCAATTGGCCTGTTCTGTTCCCCACTCTGTCTCTGGTGAAGCCTCTCACTGCCCCTGAGCCTCTGGCCTGTACCCCAGTTCCGTATGCACAAACAAATAAATCTTAAAAAAAAATTATTTAAAAAAAAAGATAGTTACATGTTAACATTAACAGAAATTTATAAAGATTAGTAATTTCTTGATAATTTCTATAACACACTGTCTTACAGCATTTTCATGATCTGCCACTATTTCCCAGGTTCGTTCATCACTCGTCTGGCAATATTCTTTCTTCCTTGCATACTTTTGAAATGAGCAATTTCAGTGCTCATTTTAGCAGGACATACACTAGAATTGGAACCATACAGAGAAGGTTAGCATGGCTTATGTGCAAGGGTGACATGCAAATTTGTCATGCTTTTATATGTAAGTATAATGATAAGCTAAGAAATGAAAATGAATTGCATAAAAGCATTGATTAAATACATGATAAGAGGAAAGAAATAACATGCCTAGTTTGTGAATAAAATAGATTCTGAAAGATGTATGGGTAACATCTTTAAGCACAGGCAGAAACCACAAGGCAAGATGAAGAGAGAGAATATTCCAGGCAGTAAGAACACTGGGCTCAAAGGCTAGGAAGCAGAAATAATAGGGTATAATCAGTGATCAACAAGAAACCAGCCTCAGGATTTCCAACTTAAGCACACATCTAGGCAACAGAATTGTTGCATGTGAAACTATGCGGACAACATAACCCTTACAGGCCATGCTAGAGGTGTATAGCTACTGCAGGAGGAAATCAAACTCCTTGAGATTAAAGATGACAAACTCAATTTAAGAATTTGGCAAATTAACTTGCTAACACAAAGGAAAAAGAAACTGAGGTCAGAGCAACTCCCTTTCTCTTCACGAAGCCTACCAATACCCAGTATATTGCCCACTCAATCTGCCTAAATACTTTTGCACCAACTTCAAATTGTATATATTTTTCTGTCATGTCTGGTAATCTGTTAAAACAAAATGAGTCTCTTTATTTTTGCATATGCTTTAAATTCTCCACAGCCAATAGCTAAAGTGAAAACATTTTAAACTGTAATTTGGATAAAATATCCTCAAATTTTTATCCTAGAATAGGTGTGGCTAATTTTTATAACATCTTATAATAGTCAAGGATATCTACATGATAAAGCATTTAATACCTTTTGTTTTATGAGTAACAGTATTGGCTTATAACAATATAAGTTGAAGGTGTTTTATATGTTGACATCTGGGTTATTTTTCTTATGAAACAATATATGTGTATTTAAAAATATTTTTTAAATGAGAAGAGAAAAAAATGACAGTAATTTAGAAATTTATTGGCTTTAGATTTTACTGTTTATATTTTGGCAGATATAATTCCAGTCATGTGTATGTATATTTAAAAAAGTTCTTAAATGAGCAATTTTATTTTACAACTGGAAAAAGGTTATCCTCTCGCCCCAAAAGACTATAGTGTATAAGCTAAATAAGAAAACATTTTCCAAAATACATATCTTGATTTCAAAATGACAAAAATGCAACAACTGTGTGGAAGATATTCCTGCAAGTGGTTACTGCAAATTTTCCAAATGCAAACTAATCTGAAGTAAAACAACTAGGAATCTAAGATATAAGAATTCCCAATTTATTTTTCTAGGCAAATGAGTTTTTCTTGTTGTGTGTTTTCTGGTTAACCAACGGGGATACTTGTAAAATCAATTTCTATTTCATTTTCTCTAAGAAGGTAATTGTTTTCTTCTTTATACTGCTGAGTCATTTCATTAAACTTTACCCCTCTGCCTATTCTTTCAGGGAAAGTCCCTTTACAGTTAGTGGTAATGTTAATTATAATGTATTTTTTTCTGCATTTCTAACTGTAAAAGCTCTTTTAGTTAAGTGTGAACTTAACTAAACTCCACCAAAATTATATTAAAACAAAATATAAATTTACATTTAAACTTAGCTAGTAATGGGCAATACTTGTCTCCTGTAAGTTAACACTAGCTTCTGGAATATTCTTAGTCTCCTTTTGGCATCTGAGGTTCTGCTCTTTGCAATTAAACATGAATACTTTAGAATTGGAAATCTGCTGAAACAAACTTTATTCAAATCTTGAAAGCCAAATGATTGTTTCTTCATTTATTTTTCCAACAAAATTTCTAAATTCTATTTCTAGTTCCTCTAATATTATTAAACAATAATAAGTAATATCTTTGTTGGACATTTTCATTTTCTAAGAGTGGTATATTTTTCATTGAATTTCTAAAATTATATTCATTTTATTTGTGAATTTGAACAATATATAGTTATTTAATAAAATGCTAATCTAAATATTGCTGTGGATGTATTTTGTAGATTTGGTTAAAACTAAAGATGTTACTCTTAATAATTTGAGTCAGTCTCATCCTATCAGTTGAAGGTCTAAAACAAAAGTGAAAGTATCCAAGAAATTCTGCCTCAAAATGGCAGCTCAACTCCTTCAGTTGTGTCCAGTGAGATCCTAGCCTATAGATTTAAAACTTATTAGATCCCATAATTGCATGGCCCATGTCCTTTAAATAACTGTATCTAATATATACTTTATCATTTTATCCATATTTTATATATAAGTATATATTTTATTTATAGTATCTTTTATCTTCTGTTCAAAGTATTTATTAATATAAAAATCAATCAATATACATATATGCATTCACACATAAAATAAAAATTCAATGCATAAATAAAAAACTAATTTCCTGTCAACTGTTTGATGTTTCTATTGATTATAGCATAAAAGAAGAATATGAAATGGAAGCAGACAAAAGTACCCATGCTAAGTCATGTTATTTTGATGGACACATTAGAAAAAACACTATTAATAAAAACTAACCCTGATATGCAAATATAAATGATATAAACATTACTGACATAAACTGAGAATGTATTTCCCATAGCTACTGAATTGTTAAATATGTCCTCATAACACATAAAATCAGGCTGTGGTGAGAAAAACCCTGTTGGGGTCTTTGCTGTTCAGGATATTTAGGTGTATACATATATGATTACTTTTGTCATTTCATACATTTATATATTGGGCTTATTGAATATATCAATTATTGAGATTCTGAAAAAATTTAGAAAAACTTAGGGGCATGAAAGGGATTATGTGAACGTCTGAAAAATGGTTAAACCCAGATCTCTGACTCTTCTCTATGGTAAGTGACTGTCCCTCCACCTCTCCCTCAGGGGACAGTGGATAAAGGGTCTCAGTAGCTGGAACCTCAGCAAGTGGAAGCGCAGGACTAAAAGCAAAGAGAGTCTAAAGCTGGCGAGTGGTGAGACCCTTGGCCACTTTCCTACTCCTCTCTCAATTTCAAAATTCTCAGAAGATAACAAGAAGTTATTCTCCAGTGACACTGAAAAAAATCTTAGAGGAAATTTCTTGGACCTGAACTTGGGCTATGCTCTAATGAAAAAACTAGCCAAACGAAACCTACAGTTCATGATCAAAGAGTGTATATATAAGTAGTCCCTTGCTTGTAAATATATGTGTTTTAATTCCTCAAATAACAAATGGAAAATTTGATGAAAAGATATAAAAATCAAATATTCACTGGAGGAAAGATACAAGAGAATGTCACAAAAAAGAAAAATGAAAAGCCCCAAAGAGGCAGATAAAATGCAAGGAAAATAGCAAACTTTAAAGTAATTTAAAGTTTTTAAAAGAGAAGCCCTCCCTGGTGATGCATCAGGTTAGGACACAACACTGCAAGCTAGCTGCAGCAGAGGTGATCTTCATGGTGTGGCAGACCTCTCCTGTCACGCCCATTGCTCCCCTCAGCAGTGTGCTTCATTGATCTGCCTGTGCTGCTCTCCACTCTGTCACTGGTAAAGCCTCTCATCACCCCTGAACCTCTGGCCTGTACCCCAGTTCTGTAAGCATAACTGAATCTTTAAAAATAAAGAGAAGTTAGATATGGTATCCCTAAAATAAGAACATGATAACATTGTTTAAAAATGTGAGAAGAATAACTCTTGGAAATTAAGAATATGATAGCTAACAATAAAATTTATTAAAACATTTGGAACTGTAGTGAAGGAATTTTCCTCAAAGGCTAAAGTCAAGGAGATACGGAGAAGAAAAGAGTAACAGATAAATATGGGATCATCAACATGTGAGCAGATGTTACATAAAGAATGAAAAGGGGAAAAAAAGGTTGGGAGCAAATTATCAAAGAAATTATCCTAGAAGGAAGGATCTAAATTTCCAGACTGAAACTGCCATTAAAATGAAAGTATATTACTACGAAACTTCATAGTATCATGGATAATCTCTCAAGGGCAGTACTGGAAGTTACAAGATGAGGGAGCAACACTCTCAAAACAGAAATTACATACAACCTGCAGTTCTTAAGTAAGCAACTCAATCTTATGTGAGTGCAGAACAAAGATTTTTCAAACTTGTAGTTTCTCTAATTAATAACCTGTGTACCTTTCTCAGGAAGCATGTGTGGTATGGGCACCTCAAAGCAGGAAGAAAATCAAGAACAAGACGAACAGAAATGTTAGTAAGGACAGACTCACCAGAAGAGTGAGGAAATGGAAGTTCTAAAACAGTAGTAGTATGATGATTAAAGGCTGGTCTCTCCCAAATCTATAAGTTTGAAAATTGCTTGTTCAAGTGCTTAGGTTCTGGACTGACCTCCTTGCAGCTGTGTGATAGGATATGCCATGGTTTTATAAATTTAACAAGTTTTAAAATAAGAAAATGCTATCCTTTATTTATTAAAATGAAGAAAACAATAATTTTGATTGCATATTCTGGGATAGCTGCTGAACATCAATGTGATACCAAAATTTTCAATACTTTTATTGTATTAAAAACAATCACACGTGGTCTCAATTTTTTGTAGTATTTTTAAAAAATCACTATTTCAGTGGAATTCTTTAGCTAAACCTAAGGTTCATATGATTTTTGGTTGAATTTGTATGCAATAAAATTCAACTGTCCTCACACCAATAAAACGGATCACACTATTTTTTTAATTGTTTAAATGAACAATAATAACAATAATGATGCAGAGATAGCTAAAATTTGAAATAAAACATTTTTATGTCCTGCTTTACGTTTTCAATTATCTGTAGTGCCTCAATAGTACCTTACTTCATTCTTAACCCCAACAAGTACAAGAGTATCATGATGCCTTTTCCATGCACATGTTTAAACAGTTCACCCAACCCACTCCCTCTGAAATTGTTGACCCAGAGTTAGAGTCCAAGACTTTTGACTGAAATTGCAGAACTCTTTGCTCTATACTTGATCTCTTTATGCAATAATATTGAAAAGTCAAGGTATTCGTTCCTTACAGGCAAGAATGTTTTTAGTTATTCCAATTTTAATAACTCTATAAAGATCACATATTAAAAAATGCTTAAATGAGAATTAATTTACCATATCATATTCCCTTGGATCTCAGGCATTCCCAGTTAATAGAGAAATCTTACAACCATTGGTGAGTGGTTGAAAAAAAAAAAAAGGATTGTCAAATCCAGGAGAAAGGGACACAGTAAGGTAACTGTGCATCCTTAATTTGTTGGCCAGTTCCATACAAACATTCTCTTCCTAACAAATACACTCTATTCTAAAATGTAGCTCTATTCTGGCAGTGATAAAAAGTAAACTAGTATTTTAATTTATCTATACCTGACAGTTACAGCACTTTAACTGGATTTGATCCTTGCAACAAAAATATGATTTACTTCTTTATGGATTGGAAATCTAATTCTCAGAGAACTTAACGAACAAATCAGGGACCATGTCTGATTCTTTAAACTCTTAAGCCTTTCCCTTCCCATTAACCCCACAATGGGGGGTCACTGTCAACCGATACTTACATTTCATCACACCTTGAATTTCATAAACAGGCTTGAGAATCAAAGCACCATGAAAGCCTTTAGGAAATGGGTTTGTTAAGTCCCACTTATTTGAAAAATCTGTAAGTTTCACAGTTCGTGTTCTGTTCTTAGGGATCTTCCATTCAACAATCTCCTTTAGGGTATAAATATGCTCATCTTCACACTCATAGAATTCTCCTCTTTGTGACAAAGGCAAAGTAAATGAGTGATTCTTATGATTTCTTATCACTCCACAATGCACCATCACTTCTCCATTGACTTCTTCTATAGAGTTGAGCATGATTTGTTCACCTTGCTTCACAATGAATTTCTTTAGTTTTATATCTTTCTGATTATAGAAGCAAGGATGACCTAATCTACTTGGTCCAATAAGGATGGTCTTTGTAATTTCCTCCATAGTAGCGTATGGTGTTTTATCAGCCACAATCTTAAAAAGACCTAAAAACAGAAATGTGAATATTAAAGAGAGTTCTTACAATGGTAATTATCGTTAGAAAATCACATAATTATAAATACAATGTGGCTTTGAAAATAATGGGCCTTTATGAGAAAATAATAATAATAATAATAATGAACAGTTATATACCAGAGACATTTTATGGAGGTGGAATGGGGAATGGGATAAAAAAACAGTGGAGGGAAGGAATTGCACTGGACTATGGTGATGGCACATGGGTGATTTGGTGATGGGAAGCCCACGGGGATTACAACTGAGATAGGAAAATGCACAAAATGATGTAAAAATAAACTATTTTTAAAAATGGGCTTTTAAAAGACTAGAGATACTTGTCTTAATCTTGAATTTTCTGAATAAAATTTTAATATGTTAATTATATTTCTGGATCATCTAATCCAGGTAACATAAAAGAGAGAAGGGAAAAATACCTTGAAACAAAAATGGAAATGAAAATATTTATAGAGTAAAACTTTTAATCTCTTAAATTCACATATTTTATTTTTAAAATGAGATGATTAGATTTTTTCTGGCATATATTCTCTAGACATACTAAATTAAATGATATCCTAGAAGGAAACTGCTTAACAGTCAAATTAATTATTATAAAGCTATTGCCTAGAAGTAGATGGTGATGACAGTTATATAACATTGTGAAGATACTGAAGACTGTTTTATATATATATATATATATATATATATATATAAAGATTTATTTATTTATTGATACAGAACTGGGGTACAGGCCAGAGATGCGGAGGGTGAGAGGATTCACCAGAGACAGAGTGGGGAGCAAAACAGGCAGATCGACAAAGTACACTGCTGAGGGGAGCAGCGGGCGGATCAGGAGAGGTCTGCCGCGCCATGTGGATCTCCTCCAGGGCAGGCAGGGATCAAACTCATGCTGAAGTGACTTAAGCTTCCTAGTGCTGTGCTTTAACCCGCTGCACCACCAGGGAGGGCCAGACTGTTTTATATTTTAAATGACAGTTTATGTTATGCTAAAATTAACCAGTTTAAAATACCTATATATTTCCATTTAATAGTTATCAGAAATTTTAGATAACATGTGACTCACTAAAGAAAATACACCATCAAGAATTTGCCAATTTTCTTTGAATATAAAACTCTTGGAGAAATACCATTATTAAATCACAGCATAATATACCTTAGTATTCTACATTACTTTCTTTGGAAAACATAAGATTTGGTAGCTCATCATTGACTACTTTTGAATTTAAATCATTTTTTTCTAGTTTTGCTAAAATTTCACCATTTTTTCCTATAATACTATTAGTATACTCACTAGTGTATGTGTGTGTGTGTATACATTTACTTTACTGTTTCAGATACAGCCTGTTATGCTTACATGCATAAGTGCTGAATTCTCCTCTGATTTAGCTTGCTTTTATTTTATGGGCACATCAGCTTTGTAGCACTTTCAGAAATTTATTGAAGAAATTTTAATACATTCCATAAAAATAAACCAAAGAAAAAATTAAGTAATTGATTCCTTAACCCACAGAAATTAATACTAATATTATGCAGCAGTATGCACTCACAAGACAGTGTATTAAAAAAATACTTATATAACTCAGAATAATCATTAGTTTATTCAACAATATGTTCCAGTTAAATTAATCCATATATCAAATATTCTCAAGCAGGTTATAACTGTATGTTTATTTTGAGTTACTCTACAAACGTTTATGATCATATTTTTAAGTTTCTCCTGGCTTTAACAAAAACATACAGAATTTCAATTCTTTTTAGACATGAATTTCCTTAAAAAGTGTGGGTAATATAACTCTGGCAAGAATTGAGCAAGGTAGCACATATGCAATCTTTGGTAGAAAACTTTAAAAAAATGAATGTGTTCTACTGCATGATATGCTTGAATACAGTAGGCCAAAAACATTATTTTCAAGGAACTTACATCTTTATCAGGAAAAATTTAGTGAAATAATCTTAAATTTTCTACAACAAATTTTTCTGTGTGCTTGTGTGTGCACATGTACATTTATTCTGATTTGTCTCTACATGTAAACTTATTTGTAGGAGTCCACAATCATTATCAGGTATAGAAAATTCAGCAGTTTTGTGAAGTAGATCTAAATAGAGCTGCCTAGACTCTTGTATATGGTAGAGACACATAGTTTTATTTCTATGCTCGGTACATTGACGACATCAGTCACAGAAGAATTAATTCAGTGTCTTCTTTCTTGGGGAATTGTGTTCACCTAAGGTAATAACACTTAAAATGTTATGAAGTAGAGGAAGCCTGATACCCTAAGGGGTGCTATTATTTCTAGTTAATCACACACTTCAGAGCTGTCTTCTTGGATATCTCTATTGTAAGAAAAATCTATCCATGGATCTGTGCATTTTTCCTTACAAGATGATAAAGTACACAGTTTAGCATATTAGTGGCAGAAAATAGGAAAAAATCTGTGATTAACTTATTTCTTCATGTACTATTTGTAGTCAACCCAAAGACTATCTCCTTATGAACAGTCACTTAACACCACATTAACTAGGGCAAGTTAGAGACAGAGGTAGAGAAAGAGATTTAATACACTGAATATGTCATATCGGAAATTCAATTTCACAATAACCTAAAACTCCTACCAAATCAGTTTGAATTTTGACCAAATAAAAAATGGTCATAAAATATAAAAGAGTAAGACAACCTTATTCCTGGAAATATATAATTTGTTATTGTTCAAAGAAAACAAACCTAAGTGATAATGACAGTAATGGCAAAATAATACAATATGTCATCTTCATAAAAATAAAAGCTGAGGCCCTCCCTGGTGGTGCAGCGGGTTAAAGCACTGCACTATGAAGCTTAAGCCACTTCCTCATGAGTTCGATTCCCGCCTGCCCCGGAGGAGTCCACATGGCGAGGCAGACCTCTCCTGGCCCGCCCGCTGCTCCCCTCAGCAGTGTACTTCGTCGATCTGCCTGTTCTGCTCCCCACTCTGTCTTTGGTGAATCCTCTCACCCTCCGCATTTCTGGCCTGTACCCCAGTTCTATATGAATAAATAAATAAATCTTTAAAAAAATAATAATAAATAAATAAAGCTGAAAGAAAATAGATTTCTATTTCCAAATTTATTGTTACCTATTAAAATGGATATTATTGTCATTTTCAAGTCAGGAGAATTTATTCTGAAAGAGCATGCCAGGAATGTAGTAAACATAAGAAAATGCAGTAAATTGACCTATTGAGATTTATTCAATCAATGAATTTAGTCTAAGATATTTTTTATAAACTAAAGATTTGGAAGCTATATTTTAAATTATTTCTTAACTATCTACACCTATTTTTATTAACAGTAGGAAAAACTGAAATTTGTAGAAAGTTACACATTTTAGCAATTTTTTATGCAACCTTTACCCTCAAAGGAGTCTTATATGGACAGCAAAACAATTCTTATTACTGATATATGTAGAAAAAAATCATGGTTTTCATTGTCATGACACTAAAAATTTTAAATCAGGCCTTTGACATCAAGTCCTAGTGTGACCACATCATCTACTTCATAAACATTGCAGTGAATAAACAAATACATGTAACATGCTTAGTGAATACTTTAACACATAAGAAGCAGCAACAACAAAAATAATGTTATTTTGCCCTCATTTCCTTTCACTCTGTAATTCTAAGCCACTGAGGATGGTTACAAGGTCAAAAGTTAGTACCTACAAAGGCAAAGAGGACAATGTAGATGTGCCAGTCTATCAAATCAGATGACAGAAAATACACAGAATCAACAATTCAGCATCTTACGCACATTGAGCAAAAAAAATCCTAGCAACAATAAATTCCACAGACTTCACCACGGTATTTGAATACAGGAATGTCCCTTAGATGATTGCTTTAGGCAGACTGCTTTGGTAAAGTGTTTCTAGGTTGCTTTGAGAAGTGTGACCCCATGCTTTGATAAATTGCTTAGAATTTAGCCACCATAATTTTATGCCCCAAATAAGCAGTTTATAGGGAGAAATAGACACATTTAAAATGCAAATATTGTGCTGCTCATAGTTATTCACAAAGGTATACATTAGACACAGTTGCTGAAGTTCCCTTGAACAAAAGAAACAGCAAAATGCCAAGGCATATTTGAAAATGTTATTTTATTCATCGTTCTGAAAGGTAGTTGAAGCCAAATAAGGGAGGACCATACTCTCCCCTTATTTTAATGATCTTAATTTTGCTAATGGAATGTTAGTGGAAAGAGTTCGGGAGCCATGTGGTGCTGATTGCGTTGTTCAGTATTGATGTTGCCTGCAAATTAAATGTACCTAAGTAGCCACCTGTTTATGCTTATGATTATGTATAACCCCATATGTTTCTCTCTCTACACATGGGAGGTAAATATTGAAAAAATTATTCTGGTGTGAAGGGTGAAAACAGCAGCAATTCTTCTATAACTGTCAACATATGCTATGGTGTTTCCTTTAATGTTGTGCTTTGTCTGACATATTTGCTGATTTTTACCATGCAGTGTTCAAAAAAACCTGTTACCCGTGTTTATACAAAACAATTAAAAATCAGTTTCCATTAAATTCAAACCAGGAAGAGATATAATTTTCCAATGTAGCCATAAGTTTTAAATGGATTTCAGAGTTACTGATTTAAATAGATTTTGATTTGCATGACAAAGAAAAATGACTTCTTGCCTCCAAATTCACAAGCATATAAAAAAATGAACATTGTCTTCTTAAATACAACTTTTGATTCTATATTATTTGGCAACAAAGAAAGTAAAACAACATGAGTTTGAAAAGCCCACCTAAAATCAGCAATGGTCTCTCTACCTAGTTCATCACATTCTTGCTGGATTTGACCCCGAAGCAGCTTGCCAGACCTCATGTGTATCTGACCTGTTAAATGATCAGCAGGACTTGGGAGCAGTTTTGGGAAGAGGTAACACTGTGGCAATGCCTCTAGCTATTCAGTTAATATTTAAATCCCTC